AAAAAAAAAAAAAAAAGGTATTCACTGAGTGGCCACCATGGCCAAACTCTATCCCACGTCCCACACACTGGGGACGCAGCTGAGAGCAAGGGACCCCACAGAGTCATGTTCTAGGAGACAGTAGCTGTCACCACACCTGCAGCAGGTTCCCACTGTGGCTGAATGACAGAATCTCAGGTTAGATGAAGACAAAAAGGCCGTTACCCTTGGCTAACAAGGGATAAGCCCAAACCTAATGGCACACAAAGGCCAGAGGAAAGGGGTGGAAACGCCACAGGACCGAGAGAGAGCAGGCACAGAATAGAAACTCGGCACACCGGAACTGAGGTGCTGACTGTTATGAACACCCACAAACGCTGACCAGTTCCAAGGAAACAGACCACAACGAACGGCAGACGGGAACACAAGGCGCCGCACACAAACACGAAAACATGTTCGAAACTAAAAGGACTTCTGAACAACCCATGGTGCGAAAACAAAATCATAACGTGAATCATGCAGTCTCGAAACAACTCCAGCCGGGCGCGGTGGCTCACACCTGTGATCCCAGCACTTTGGGAGGCTGAGGCGGGTGGGTCACTTGAGGTCAGGAGTTCGAGACCAGCTCGGCCAACATGGTGAAACCCCGTCTCTACCAAAAATACAAAAATTAGCCAGGCGGGGTGGCGCATGCCTATAATCCCAGCTACTTGGAAGGCTGAGGCATGAAAATTTGCTTGAACCTGGGAGGCAGAGGTTGCAGTGAGCCAAGCTCATGCCACTGCACTCCAGCCTGGGTGACACCGTAAGACTCTGCCTCAAAAAAAAAAAAAACAAAACTGAACTCCCAAGACGCAGCTCATGCAGCCTAGGAGAAACTGCGTTAAGCATAGGTTAGATACAAAAGAGACACAAACTAATGAAGCAGCAAGAAGAAACCCACAAAGGTAGAAGGTAGGAATAAAAAAAAGCAAAGGTCAATAAAGTGAAGTAAAGGGCCGAAGACAGCTGTGAAGAGACAAAA